CTGGGTATAACACTTAGATACCTCTTGTTTATTCAATGGAATGACTTGGCCTTCCTCCCCTCAGGCAGTCTCAGATTTTATCTCCACCTGGTGCAGAGAGGTCATAGACAAGGATGATCCATTGGAAAGTGACCTTAGAAATGGACATGTCACTGCCTGCCTCTTTGGAGATCCTGGAATACCCTGCTTCCCATTAGTTATTCCTCTATGGTAAACAATGAAGTTGAAACAATTCTTGAGGTCAGGGATATTATTTCAATCTTCTTTAATAAACACTGGGCATGTTTTACACACTCAATTGCTGTATATTGAATGAGTAAATAAATGAGTATTATTCCATGTAGAAAAATAGATTACTTGCTATCTCTTTAGCAAATACTAGCATAAAACCAATAATAGTTCTGGCTGAGTATTTCAGATAATTTGACAAGACAACAGCTGTCACCAGAAAGATAAGTGGCTGTCATCAAGAGACAGGAAGCTGTCAGGTGGTGCCAAGAGTGACAGTGAAGTTTTGAGAAACTGGGGGCTCCATCAGCAAGGGAAGTTCTGGGAGGCACAGAAGACCCACTGAGGTAGTAATGGGTCCTGAGATCTGATACTTTGGGTTACTTTGATTCTTCATCAAGGAGACACAAAATATAGGGTCAACTGAGCCTTGTTGCTGCAAAGTGTTGTACCCATGGATAAAGATAGAACCTATGGGTTGGAAGTTGCTAGCTCTTTTAGGTACTGCATATTGAGTAACTAGACACATAGACAATGGTAGAGACACTGCTATTTAAAGTAGTCACTGAATCGGTAAAAGAATAATTTATCTTCAGTAAACCCAATGGATATAATGTACCAAGGATTGGTGGTTCAAAATTCCTAGAACATCAGATAATCTAAAGGCCTGGATAGTTATGTGTAACCTAATGTACATTCTATGAAAGTCCTGAATGGCCATTTCTACCTGAAGTGTATGAGCATGGCACTTTTCACCTTCTTGTTAAGTTCTCATTCAAACTTAATCTGGAAAAAACTATCACTTTGTCCTGAAGCCACACTGTACATTATGTATTTTTTTTGTTGTTATCTCCAGAGCCTTCTTCCAAGGAACTACAGATGTTTCCCCTAAAGAAACATGACAGCAAAGTTTTCCTCTGTTCTGGTGCTGTTATTGCTTAAATGTGGCCTAAGGCTCCTAAGAAAAGAGAAAAGCCATCTCTGATGGAAAGAACTCTTACCATTCACATCAGCATGGATGGACATGGAGAGCATTATGCTGAGCGAAATAAGCCAATCAGAGAAAGAAAATATCACATGATCTCACTCATTTGTGGAATATAATGAACAACATAAACTATGAACAAAAACAGATCCAGAGACATAGAAACATAGGACAGACTGTCAAACCTCAGAGGGAAGACTGGGGAGGGTGAAAGGGGTGTTAAGAGATCAACCAAAGGACTTGTGTGCATGAATATAAGCATAACCAATGAACACAGACAGTAGGGGAGTGAAGGCATGTGCTGCAGGGTGGGAGCAGCTGGGGAGAGGTGAATGGGGGAAACGGGAGATATATGTAAAACTTTCAACAATAAAGAGTTTAAATTTAAAAAAACAAAATAAAATAAAGACTTTAAAAAACAAAAAAACCCCAAAAACAATAGGGAAATTTGTAAAATTATATATAAACTAGTGGCCCAGTGCACAAAATTCATGCACATTAAAAGGAAATTAATTTGAGGAAATATTTTAATATTGCTATTTGCCCTTTCTTTATAATAGAAGTGTCAGAGATGGAAGAAAATTAGTAAAATGTATATGAAAATCTTCCTCCTGTCAGAGTCTGGGGTGTGTGCAAGACCCAGAGTCAAGTCTCTCGAAATTGCGTGAGACCCAGACCTGGCCAGCCCCACCCCCATTGGGCGAGATCCAGACCCGGCCGGCACCATTCCTGTGAAGCCTGGCTGGGGGCACACGCTCAGGTCCCCTGGCCCGGTGCCCAGTGGGGAGTGCAGCCTCAGGGCCCCTGTCAAACCTCACTGGGTGGAGGGCGCAGCCTCAGGTCCCCTGTCAAGCCCCACCAGGGCATGGGGAATGGCTTGAGGTCCCCCGTCAAGCCCTGCTGGGTGGGGGATGCAGCCTCACGTCCCCCACCGTGGCCCAGTGCCACACTGCCTCAGGTCCCTGCTGATAACTCATTATGGCTCATTAAGGGAACCCTGCCTCCACTGTGGGCACAGCCATCTTGTGTTACGGGAACGCTGCCTTGGCTATGGGCACAGTCATCTTGTGATGGCATGACGGTGTGAGGGTTAATTTGCATATTACCTCTTTATCATATAGGATGGAGCCACTTTAAAATGGAGTTGGAGGAGAAACCAAGATGGCGGCAGAGGTAAACACCAGAAATTGCTGCTTCACACAACCACTTCAAAAATACAACTAAAAGACAAAACGGACATCATCCAGAACCATAGGAAGGCTGGCTGAGTGGAAATTCTACAACTAGAAGGAAAGAGAAAAGCACACTGAGACTCAGAGGAGGTGTGGAAGTAAAATGCAGAGGTACAGAGGCGCACGCGGAAAGGGCTGGCAACTGAGGACACGGTGCATGTGGAGAGGGCTGGCAGCTAGGACGC